CATCACAAAAGGATAGCCCACCCCCCACCCACTGTGGCTCAATTCTGGGCATCTGGGAGCAGGGCAGGGCTATGAATCTCTTCTTCTTCATCCCGAAAGTAGGCTGGCTTTCCCTGTGAGCTGGGGGCCTGCTGGGCCTTCAGTGGACACGAGGCTACCATATGGCTGATGCTCTGGCAGAAGTGGCACTTCTTGGGCTGGGGTGGCAACTTGCATTCCTTGGCATGATGGTCTAGACCTCCACAGTTGTAGCACCTGTCTCCCTTTGATCTGCGCTTCTGCATGTTCTTTCCTTTTGGCCGCCTCTCACTCCCAATACAGAACACCCCACCAGGGCCAGTAACTCGGATAGATTCCAGGCCCTTGGCAGACTTCTTAAAGGTGAACTCCACTGCCTCACCCTCCTTCAGGCTCCGGAAGCCCTCCATGTGCAGCTTACTCTGGTGCACAAAGACATCCACCGGTGGGTCGAGTGCGACCCCGGCGCGGGCGGTCATGGACAGGAAGCCGAACCCCATGCGCACGTTGAACCATTTACAGATGCCGGCACCGTGCAGCAGCTGCGGTTCCTCTGCCGCCCGGGCCGCGTCCTCCGGCGCCTCCTCCGGCGCCTTGGCGCAGCCACCTGCAAACTGCTGGTTTGACACGGAGCCCATGGTAGTCAGCTAAGCCCGCGGCCCCGGGCCCCAGGTCGGGCGGCTGCTGGCCCCAGAGAAGTCCGGAGGCAAAGGGGTAAACTGGGATTTTAAACTGGTATTTTGGCTCCAGAGCCCAAGTTACTAAGCCTTGTATAGACAGTCTCTCCAACACAAATCTAAGTATGATATTGTGTGGTTTTTTTTTAATGTATGCATATAGTCTTAGAATAATACCATATATATTCACGGGTTAATGTTTTAGTAACAAAAATAGTAATCTGTTCCTAGGAATAGAACTAGGTGATTTGAACCTCTCTGCCTCCATCCTCCCACACACCCAGATACTCTTGGCATTTTAATTGCTCCTCATTTGAGTATCTACAATGAGCAAGGGGTTTTAGATATTCTCTAATCTAGCCATCCTGCCACATAAGTGTGGCACTGTCTCTGTCTTCCTATTTTACGAGCCTAAGACATGGAGTCGTTCGATGATTTTTATATCATCGTGCATTTTTTTTTTTTAGTCCTCATCCGAGGACATTTTTCCATTTTTTGTACAGACAGAGTGGGAGGGAGAGAGAGGAAGAGAGAGAGAGGGAAACATCGACGTGAAAGGGACACATCGAGTGGCTGCCACCCGCACGACCAACCAGGGCCGGGGACAAACTGCAACCGAGGTACATGCCCTTAGCGGGAACGAACCCGGGCCTCTCTGGACCGCAGGCGGACGCTCTAACCGCTGAGCCAAACCGGCCAGGGCTCATCGTGCATATTTTGATTGGTTGAGCTGGGGCTTGGAGTTAGACTTTCTGAGTTTAGTATTATCTTTAGAGTCTTGTGTCTTTAACAATAAAACCTATTATACGTCATATTGGCAACTTAGGATCTGTCATTCTGGTTAACTTAATGTCCCCTGTGGTGGCCCTTTTTTCTCTTAAGACCCTACTCGTGCAGCAAATACTGAGTGCCTACAATATGCTGGTCCCTAATTTAGGCACCTTTATCTTGGGCTGGACAAAACCCAAATTCAGAAAACATTTTGGAAAGGCTTATAAGAGGGAAATAAATGTAAGTGAACAAAGCCATTTCACATTCAATAACAATTTTCTAAAACATTCTATTCTCAGTACACAATTTATGGAGAAACCGTTTTAAGGTTTTCTTATGTAATTAATCTGTTAACTAATTATTATGGAGAAAGGTAGTTTATCATTGACTAAGCCAAGATTATCATTCCGAAGGGATAGCAGTGCTGACTTTATCCAGCAGACTGATGAACTTCATGGTCTGATTTATAGCTAACTGCATGGTCCTAGCAGATCCCTCATGGTGTAATGCTTTTTAGAATCGTATGTTATAGGGGCTGTACTAAGGGTTTCTAGCAGTGGGTTGATATCTGCCCTGTACATTTTCAGGACAAAGACTTTTTTCTGCTTACTAGTCCTGATTGCAGGACTTCAACCAACTACTGTATGCTTGAGAATTCAGTCTCAAATTGACTGTTTTCCTTTTGTTTTGTTTTTTTCCTTCAAAAATTTTTAATGGAGGCAATTGATACTAGAACTAATTATTTCCGTATCCCACTAACCAGTCACTCTCTTAAGTCATCTCATTTGTCAGTTAGCAGTGTTTCCCAGGTACCGGGATACCACTGGTATTCAAGATGATTGGTAGGAGAACACATTTTGGGGGGCAGGGATTAGATAAAAAATTAGTTTTTAATGTATTTGAGAAAAAAATAAACACATTAAGCCCTGGCCGGTTTGGCTCAGTGGTTAGAGCGTTGACCTGCGATCCAGAGAGACCTGGGTTTGGTTCCCGCTAAGGGCATGTACTTTGATTGCAGTTTGTCCCCAGCCCTGGTTGGGTCATGCGGATGGCAGCCACTCGATGTGTACCTTTCACGTCGATGTTTCTCTCTCTCTCTCTCTCTCTCCCTCCCTCCTGCTCTATCTGAACAAAAAAAATGAAAAAATAAACACATCAAAATGACTAGTGACTTTTTACCAGGTGAAATTAAGCTTAAAAGGTGATTTAAAGGCAATTTAAAGAAAACTAGTAAGTAATAGGTAATGCAAGTGTAATAAGAGATGACTAAAGTAGCCAGGATAGCATGTATAGGGGTTCAGAATGAGTCACCCCAAGATAAGCCTCTGTGGGTATGTAGAATATTTTGAGCTAAAGATAAAGACCCTGAAAACTCAAGAGAAACTTCCGCCCCCATTTAATTACCTAGAAGAATGTAAATTAGGGCCTTACCCATAATAAGAAATATCACCAGAGCCCTCACTCAGTGGTTAGAGCGATGGCCCTCGGGTTCAGTTCCAGTTCCAGTCAAGGGCACATACCTTGGTTGTGGTTTGTTCCCAGCTGTGGTCGGGTCATGCCAGTCAATGTGGCTCTGTTACATCCATGTTTCTCTCTATCTCTCCCCCTCTCTCCCACTCTATCTAATGATAAATAGAAAACATAAATAGAATTATCACCAGAAATAACCTTTTCTGACCTATCTGTAGGGTAGGGCAGGGCAAACATCTAATCAGTGAATATCAGCTCCCTCTGAAGCCTCAGGCCCCTTACCTCATTCCTTCACCAAGCATTTCAAATACTCATTTTACTGTTCTGTCTCTGAATCTCATGTATGTGGGGTCTCCTATTGCTCTTATATGTGGGGTTCCCATACGCGTGATACTCAATTTGAGTTTCTACTGTTAATCTGTTTCATGTTGATTTGATTATTCCACCAGCCAAAAGAACCAACTGAGGGGAGGATTTTCTCCCTCCCCCATATATGCAAATTGCAAAAATTTTAAAAACATTGATAGGATGATTCAAAGCACAGATGTGAGTCCCCAGACACTTCTTGGTTTCTGTTCTTTATCTTTTACTTCACTGAAATGATGTAAATTTATTTCAACTAGAAATGTTCTAGAAGTATTTAGTCTTCATAACCACTTAACCCTTGCTTTCTCTAATACCTCTTATAGCAGCCAATTACTAAAGTAAATCCGTGTCATGAGAATGCACTGAGCTCGGACAGTAACAAGATGATACATCACGTTTGGAAAGCAATGTTTATAATGCCCTTATTTGTCCCCATTATATTTGAACCTGAAATTTAAAGGGCTAACAAAAAACAATTGTTTGTCCTGTTGTATAAAGTATATCCTTTTGAGAAATCTCTGAGTGTGATTTTTATAGAAAATACTAAGATTCTTGTGACCTGATTCTTAAGGGAGATTCACTACATTTTAAGGTCACACAAGTAAGTGGTAAAGCCAAAGGTTGAATCCAGATCTGACTCTAGCTCTACACCTCTTTTATTAAAGTGACGATTTAACGGATTTTATAAGTTAATTTGTCACCGGTAAGGTAGTAAAAAGTTATTGGCTTTTTTAATGTAATGGTCATGGACAAGAAAGGAAATTCATTTTTAACATCAGTTAAGAAGCCCTGGCCAGTTTTCTCAGTGGTTAGAGCTTCAGCCTGAGGACCAGTGACTTGCAGGTTCATTTCTGGTCAAGGGCATGTACCTTGGTTGCAGGTTGTCCCCAGCCCTGGTTGGGGTCGTGCAGGAGGCAGCCAGTCAATGTGTCCCTCTCACGTTGATGTTTCTCTCTCTCTCCCTCTCTCCCACTCTATCTGAAGATAAATAGGAAAATATCCTTGGGTGAGGATTAATAATAATAAAATAAAATCAGTTAAGAAGGCTGTGGTTCTAGATCCTATTAACTATAAAGCTTTGAACATACTTTTTTAAAAATCTAATTGGCTTTTTAAAATTTGTTTTTACTGCCCTGGCCGGTTTGGCTCAGCAGTTGGAGCGTCGGCCTGCAGACCAGAGAGTCCCGGGTTCAGTTCCCACTAGGGGCACATACCAAAAAAAATTAAATTAAAAAAAATTATTTTTAAAATATGTTTTTACTAATTTTAGAGGAAGAGAGAGAGGGAAACATCTATGAAAGAGAAACGAGAAACATCGATCTGCTATCTCCTGCACTCCTCCTAAGTAGTACGCCCGCAACCCAGGCTTGTGCCCTGACCCAGAATCTAACTGGAGACCTCTTGGTGTATTGGATGATGCTCAATCCACTGAGCCACACCAGTGGGGCAGAGCATTACTTTTTCACTTGTCAATGACAGATTATTCTTTTTAAATCTTTTCATTGGCCTCTTTCTCTTAAATTTGCATTAACAGTTTAAAATGAAGCTACATCTATAAACCAACACTTAAGACAGTGGGAGTGAGAGTTTAGGACTTGTAAATTAACCAAAAAATTCTACATGCTTAAAATTCTAATCACTCAGGTTCTGGTATATTTGACAATAAGGTTTCTCATCATTATGTATTTGTCTCTGCAGTGATCCTGCCATGAAGCAGTTTCTGCTGTACTTGGATGAGTCAAATGCCCTAGGGAAGAAGTTCATCATTCAAGACATTGATGACACTCATGTCTTTGTAATAGCAGAGTTGGTTAATGTCCTCCAGGAGCGAGTAGGTGAATTAATGGACCAAAACGCTTTTTCTCTTACCCAGAAGTGAAAATATTAGATATTGACCACTTAGGAATGAAAAGTAACAGATGGGAGAAACTGTCACCATTTAGTATCTTATGTGACAGGTTAGACTTAGAGAATTGCTGAGAAGCATGCTGCAGAAGAGACGGGGGTATCATTTGTTCAGAAAAAAACAATCCTGAACTGATTTTCTTACTCTGTTTTTTTTTGTTGTTGTTGTTGTTTTTAATATGTGTACCCTAGAATTTAAAAAAAAGGATTTAACAGTTGGCTATAATTTGACTTTCATTGTCCTTTATTAAAATATAAATGGTTTTCTTACCTTTTTAATGCCAATTTAATACATATGGAATATAACTTTTATCAGTCTAGCCTAGATACTTATTTTTCTTGTTCCTATTAGTAATTTTGAGTTTTTATAGTGTGGTATGGTTAGTTTTGTTTCAACTAGAAACTTAAAAGATGTTTTTTATAAAGTATGGCATGCAGAAAGTGCACAAATCATAAATGTACACATCTCAGAATTTCCACAAACTGAACACACTTCTGTAAACAGCACCCAGATCATGAAAAAGACAGTTACCACCATCTCAGAAGCCCTTTCAATAGAAACACCGAATGAAACACTGCGCTGACTTTGAACTGTATAGTTTTGCTGCTTTATTAACTTTGAGTGGAATCATGCAGCATGTATTCTTGTCTGGCATCTATTACTCAGCATTATATTTGTAAGAGTTGTCTTTGCTGTTGCATGATGTTATAAGTTGACCTTGAACGATACACGTTTGAACTGCGCAAGTCCACTTATACGTGGATTATTTTGAGTAAGTACTGTAAATGTAGTCTCCATATGATTTTCCTAACATTTACTTTTCTCTAACTTACTTGATTGTAAGACTACAGTATACAATACATATAACTTACAAAATATGTTAGTCAACTCTTTATGTTATCTGTAAGGCTTCCAGCCAGCAGTAGGCTATTAGTAAAGTTTTGGAGGAGTCCAGAGTTGTGTATGGATTTTCAACTGCTCAGGGGTTGATGACCCTAACCACCACTCCTCACCCCTGTTGTTCAAGGGCCAACTGTACTTTTTTCATTCTCATTGTTATACAGTAGGTATTCCATTGTTTGCTTCAACCACACTAGAGATAATTTGATTAATAAATCAGTCCTAAAAATTTAATCATTAAACCTCAATTTGAACTTGATAAACATACATCAAAAAATTTTACCACTATCAAGTGGTTATACTAATTTTTCTCCAGTGGCAGAATGTATACAACTTTATTGTATTTGTTAGAGAAAAGAAATGGAAGTACAGAATCTAATCGCAAATATACTGGCATTAGTTACATTGATATTATGTTGTTATTATATTAGCTTCTTCAGTTCATTCAGTCCTTATTCATTCCAAAAAAAATTAAGTACTTACCACGTCCTAGATGTAAAGGATAGATATAGTTTTTAAAAAGATGGATGAGCACCTATATAGGAATGCTTTTAATTTCAAGTCACAGAACACCAGTGAAGAGTTATTTAAACCATAAAGAAGTTTAATTGTCTAACATAACAAGAAGTCTGGAGATAGATAATTCCAGGTGGTTCAACCTATTTCTGCTCTGCCATTCTAATAATGTTGGCTTTTCATTCCTGGCTTACTGCCTCATGGTCACAATACAGTAGTTGCTGCTCCAGTGTATTATATTCACAGCAGTAGCCCAAACAGGAAAGGAAGGCTGTACTTACCAGCAGAGAAAATAAGGAAAAACTTCCCCCTGGTGTAACTCTTTTTATCAGGAAGAAAAATCTTTCCCAGAATCTCCCCACTTGTCTATCCCTAGACAAAGAGAAATAGAGTAATAATTGACTTAGATCAGTGATTCTCATCCTTTAAAATCACCTGGAGTCTTTCAAAATTTCTTATGTGGATATTGTTAGTCCAGGTGGAGCTTAATTCCCTACCGTGGTCATGTGCTGCACTGTGATTTGCTTCCAAAAAGTAGATTTGGACTGGATGAAAAAGTAACTATACAGTGGAGAAACTGGAAAATACTACCTTAGCCAGTTGATCAGAGTTAACATCAGAGATAAGTCATGTTGAGAACAAGTACATCCAATATGATGTTATGAGAAGGTTACTTCACCTCTGTGGTTTTCTTCCGAAATAATAACCACTTCAGTTTTATCAACACTGTTTAAGGGAATTCTATAAGATACCTCTTCCGATGAGAAATTCTGCAAAATTCTACAAAATGCCTCTTCTGATGAGAAACGTATCAAACCAACACAGATTTAAGAGAATTCTACAAAATATCTGGCCAGTACTTCTTAAAACTATGAAGATCATGAAAAACAAGGCAAGACTGAAACACAAGTTCAGAAGAGACTAAGGAGACCTGATGTCTAAATGTGAAGCCTTGTTCCAAGTGGGATCTGGAACAGGAAAGGGACTCTAGGGAAAATCTAAGAAAACCTGTATAAAGTCTGCAGTTCAGTTAATATTAATGTTCTGTCTGCTTTTGTATATCCTTGAAGATTTCTATTAAAAGTTTCTAAATGTGAATATTTTATTCTAGCAATGATATGCCTACATTTGTTTCAATAAAAAAAGTATAGCATAGTGTTTAATAGCATGAATTTCGGTATCCAGAATTCTGTGTTTGAATCTGTTTTACCATTGAATAGTTGGGTGATTGGGGCAAATTACTTTTCTAAATCTTGATTTCATCATCTATAAAATGCAGATAATAATAATCACGATAATACCTCACAGGGTGGTGTTAGGGATTCGGCAAGAAAGCAAGTAGAATGCACTGTGAACAGTACATGGTACCTCTTCACTTATAAGTATATTCTGTCTGGTGATTCTTTATCCCACCATCCTAAAATAATAGTGTGTTATTATGATACTCCTCATAGAACACTTAAACAAATACAGGGTAGGGCAAGAGTAGGTTTACAGTTTGTATGGAAAATAGTGTAATAATAAGTAATAATACAAGTATAAACTGTCTTGTGTACCCACAACTGTAAATCTAGTATGCCCCCACCTTGTAACACAGAATCATCTTAACACATTAACTCTTCGAATAAGCTTTTAAAATTAATTCTAAGAACTGATCTTTAGACCCACACTTTGCCAGGTGGTAATGCCCTGTAGAAAGACTTCCAAATGCACAAGAAGCCAATTGAGTTTACTTTAAAATAATGACACTTCTGGGACAGGGACTTCTGCTCTTGCAGTCTGCAGGTGAGCATCCCTTCTTAGGGGTCAACACTCCCCAGACTCCATGAGCTCAGTCTAATCAACAGAACGCTGCTCTCACCCTCCCTCTGCCCCAGCCTCAGGCTTGTCCAGTGAAGGCCTCTTGCCTACAGAGCCAAACTTTGGTGGCTATTATTAGTATTTTTGGACATGAGTCCACAATCCACTGAGAAACATTGCCTGCCAGGACCCATTTCCTCCAGTAACCAGATTTCTTTGGGAGCCCCCACCTCTGCCACAGGTGTCTGAAAGGCCCTAGAGCCCTGATAAACCAAGGGCGGTGCGCAGATGGGCAGCCTGGGCCTCACCTGGAAACACTTCAAACTTACTGAGTCAGAATCGCATTGTAATGAGTTTCCCAGATGATTCTTACACACGTTACAGTTGGAGGACTTCCATGAAGGAGACATGGGGACAAGGGAGAGATTTGAAAGCTGATTTGTGGAGCCACAGGAATAGTAGATTAAGGGGTCAGATAGTGGTCTTTCCAGCACTCACTGTGTAGTCCTTACTCAACAGAGTGCCTTTCAAGCATGTGACCTGAAACTCCCCCTGCTGTTCCCACCCCAATTCCAGGGAGAAACCTGGGGATTAAAGACAAGTGATAATGGTTATGGTGTTGTGAAGAAGCTTTATAATGGCACCAAGTCCAGAGAGGGGCAAGTACACCTTTATCAAAATAAAGCCAGGCTCGTTGCTTTACAAGAAATAGGGTCAAAGCTATGTTAGTAAGAGAAATAGAAATTCTGAGATGTCCCAATTGATAAATGGGAAGCACAGAGCCGCCCTATCCATTGCCTCGGTGCAATTTAGGAAAAGGTGGTAGATACCCGGTCTTGTTGCTGGTAGTGCTGTTGGGTGAAGAAAAAGGTGTCCCTTCTTCCACAGGAGTTCTGTCCCCACTGACCCTGCCAGCAGAAAGCCCTTGTGTACAGCCCTAAGCGTGACTGGAACCCATAGCACAGAGGAATGCAACATGACAGGAGGCAGGGCAGCTGCCTACCCAATCACCCAAGTTCCCTCGGGCTATGCCAGTCAGGTAAATGACATCCTTTACTAATCTTATACAACACTGTGATAGAATTTATCCTGTTATTCCATCTAGAATCATTAGATGTCCACTTTTTTTTTTTTTAATGCTAATTGTCTCCTTTTAAAAGCAATATAGCCCTGGCCAATGTGGCTCAGTTGGTTGGGCGTTGTCCTGTGTACTGAAAGGTTACTAGTTCTATTCCTGATCAGAATTGCACCTGGGTTTTGGGCTCATTCCCTGGTAGAGGACAGGCAGGAGGCAGCCAATCAATGTTTGCTCTCACATCAATGTTTCTCCTCTCTCTCTCTCTCTCTCTCTCTCTCTCTCTTTCTCTAAAAAATCAATTTAAAAAATCTTTGAAATAAAAGAGCAATATATAACAGAAAAATGAGAAAATAAAAATACTAGCAATTCACCACCTTAACCCAATCAAAATGAGCATTTTGTTGTATTTTCTGAAAATCTATGGTGTACTCTGCAGCTCTGTACATCCCAGGCCACGCGTTCACAGAATATGGACCATATTCTAGAAACTAGTGTCCAAACTGGCCTTTAACACCCCTGCTCCTTGATGGCTCCACCCACCTCATCCCCACATTTTCTCCATGCAGTGGACTTCTCATGGTCCCTGCTCTTTCAATGTAGTGATACATATTGTAAGTGAACAACTTGGGCTCCTGTCTCTACCCCCCCCCCCCCCCCGCACACCTCCTGGTTGCCAACTTGGTTTCTCCCCCAAGCCAATCTTCAGGCAGTTGACCTGGAAAGAGGTTCCACGTGGCTCAATCCAGAATTCAGCTCACCAGGAACTACTGTCACCAAATGGTGTAGTCCAGAACCGTTCCCTCTCTGCCTTGAACCCAGAAGGTAGAATTTGGGTTCTGTTTTCTTTAGGTCACCCTACTATCATTGATTACCATCTGCCTTACTCCTGTGGTTTAAGTCATTGCAACTTCAGGGCCTCAGAAGACCAACAGTGTTCATAGCAGTTACCCAAACTGTTTTTACCCACTCTGCTTTCATTGCAGTCACCGATCCTGTTTAAAGATTTCATGTGGCGTCCGGCCAGTGTAGCTAATTGGTTGAGCGCTGGCCCATGCACCAAGAGGTCGCTGGTTCAATTCCTGGTCAGAATACATGCCCAGGTTGTGGGCCTGATCCCCAGTGGGGGGGCATGCAGGAGGCAGCCAATCAATGTTCTCTCTGATGTTTTTCTCTCCCTCTCACTTCCTCTCTCTCTCAAATCAATAAAGGAAAAAAAATAAAAGATTTCATGTGGCTTTTTGAACTTAGCAAGTTTGGTTTCTCTGGCTTCTGTGCTTTCAGCTTCCCTTGGAGGATTTTGGTTTGTACTCAAGTTGTTCTGCCTGTCCCAGACAGTCCCAGAAATAGACCTATTCTTGGCTAGGTTCTGTGACATCCTTCAGGAGACCACTGTCATTGAAGTATGCATGCAAAGGTGTATCCAGTGATGGTAATATAACAAGCAGGTCTCTGTGTTCCTTAAAAATCACAAATTTTAATGACTGTAGTATATCTTCTTGTCATGATTTACTTAGCCATTTCCTTATTGCTGGAAATCAGATGGCTTGCAGTATTTTGAGGATCTAATACAATGATAAAGAACTTAAAAAAAAAGCAAACCCTGGCCGGTTTGGCTCGGCAGTTAGAGCGTCGGCCTGTTGTCCAGAGAGACCCAGGTTTGGTTCCCGCTAAGGGCACGTACCTCGGTTGCAGTTTGTCCCCAGCCCCGGTGGGGGTTGTGTGGGTAGCAGCCAGTCAGTGTGTCTCTCTCTTCCTCCTGCTCTGTCTGAAATGCAAAAATGTCCTTGGGTGAGGATAATAAAATAAAAAAGAACTTGCACAAAAATTTTTGGATAATTTCCTTAAAGATTCCTAAACTAGACATGCCCTAAAATCTTTCATTTTGTTATCCTTTCGTGTTGAGGCAAAATAAAGGCTTAATAAATTAGAGTTGTCTATGGGGAAAATAAGCTATGTGAGTTGCAAATATGGAGCCAGAGATAGGAAATAACATATTTTAGCCTAAAAGAGCAGGAGAGATGAAGAGATATAGTATACATGTTACATTCAGCCACAAAAGACAACAAAGCAGTGTTGAATAACATCAGTACAGGCACAGATCCATTTGTATATGTTTACACACACACACATATATATACATATACATACACACACACACATTTGTTGTTACATAATATATATAAAAATTCCATATAAGTAAATGCAGGAGGAATGTAGCAAAGATAAACTTTGCCCATATGGGAATCTTTTATTAAAATGCAAGTGGTCATTGGTCTAACCCCTTATTGTCCAAACTTCTGCATCATTAGAACCCACTGGAAGAGCAACGGGAAGCACAAACTGGAGCAGGGACATAAAAATGAGGTAAAGGTCTAAGGAGCACTGCTGTGTGGAGCCAAGGATACCATGAGAGGGGTGGGGTAAAGGGAGTAAGTTTTAGGTTGTATTATTGCCTAAAACTTTTGAGTTCTCTATAAACTCCTCTACAGTATGTTTTTTTTCTGATTTTTATTCATTTATTTTTGTTACAGATGTTTCTCCTTTTTTCCCCCTAGACACCCTCCTCCCTAGCCCACCCTACCCCTCCAGCATTATTGTCTATATCCATTGGTTACACATACATGCATATAGGTTCTTTGATTTTTCTCATCCATCACCTCCACCCCCTCCTCTGAGGTCTGTCAGTCTGAACCGTACTCTTTTCTATGTCTCTGGGTCTATTTTGTTCATCAGCTTATTTTGTTCATTATATTCCACATATAAGTGAGATCATGTGGTATTTGTCTTTCTCTGATTGGCTTATTTCACTTAACATAATGCTCTCCAAGTTCCTCCATGTCATCTTAAAGGATAAAGATCTTTCTTTCTTACAGCTGCATAGTATTCCATAGTGTATATGTACCACAACTTTTTTATCCACTCATCTGTTGATGGGCACTTGGGCCGTTTCCATTTCTTAGCAATTGTAAATAGTGCTGCTATGAACATAGGGGTACATATATTCTTTCTGATTGGTGTTTCAGGCTTCTTAGGATATATTCCGAGAAATGGGATCACTGGGTCAAATGGCAGATCAATTTTTAATTTTTTGAGGAAACACCATATTGTTTTCCATAGCGGCTACACCAGTCTGCATTCCCACCAGCAGTGTACTAGAGTCCCTTTTTCTCCACATCCTCACCAGCACTTGTTTGATGATTAGTTGATGGCAGCCATTCTGGCAGGTGTGAAATGATACCTCATTGTTGTTTTAATTTGCATCTCTCTAATGA